GGACTGGATGGCCCATGAGGTCTCTTCCAACTCTTTGATTCTATGATTCTATGAAATAAAAATGTAATGTTCATTTGTGAGATTAACAGAACTCAAAAACCAGTGGGCCAAACGATACCAAATTTGGACAGTATACACCTAACAACCCAATGTATGTCCTTCACTCAAAAAATGTTGATTTTCTCATTTGGGAGTTGTAGTTGCTGGAATTTATAGTTCACCTACAATCATAATTTCATACTGAACCGTGGTGTTGACTTGCAGCAATTCTAGTGTAGATCAGTGTTTCTCAACCTTCCTAATGCCAGATAAAAGGTAGTCCCCTGACTTTAAGTCCAGTCATGTCTGACCCTGGGGTGTGGTGCTCATCTCCATTTCTAAGCCGAAGAGCCAGCATTGTCCGTAGACACCTCCAAGGTCATGTGGCCAGCATGACTGCATGGAGGGCCGTTACCTTCCTGCCGGAGCGGTACCTATTGATCTACTCACATTTGGATGTTTTTGAACTGCTAGGTTGGCAGAAGCTAGGGCTGACAGCGGAAGCTCACGCCGCTCCCCGGAATCGAACCTGCGACCTTTCGATCAACAAGCTCAGCAGCTCAGTGCTTTAACCCACTGCGCCACCGAGGGCACCTAATAATAATAATAAGCTGACACAATTTGAGGATTTAAATATCGAACTACAAAGACACTGGCACAAGCCAGTCAAGGTGGTCCCAGTAGTGATCAGCACACTGGGTGCAGTGCCTAAAGACCTTGGCCTGCACTTAAACACAATCGGCACTGACAAGATTACCATGTAGGATAAAATGTAGGAAAAAGTGCAATGGATAAGAGGCCACTGAGCCACCGGGGGCTCCTCCTAATGCCAAGACCCCTTAATACAGTTCCTCATGTTGTGGTGACCCCCTACCATAACATTATTTTTATTGCTACTTCATAACTGTAATTTTGCTACTGTTATTTATCATGATGTAAATATCTGATACGCAGGATTTATTTTCATTCACTGGACTAAATTTGGCATAAATAACCAATATAGTCAAATTTGAATACTGCTGGGGTTTGGGTGTGTGTGTTGATTTTGTTATTTGGGAGTTGTAGTTGCTGGGATTTATAGTTCACCTACAATCAAAGAGGATTCCTAACTCCACCAATGATGGAGGTGAACCAATCTTGGCACACAGGACTCCCATGACCAACAGAAAACACTAGAAGGGTTTGGTGGGCATTGACCTTGAGTTTGCGAGTTGTAGTTCACCTATATCAAGACTCAAACAATGATGGATCTGGACCAAACTTGGCACAAATACTTCATGTGCCCAAATATGAACACAGATGGAGTTTGGGGGAAATAGACCTTGACATTTGGGATTTGTAGTTATTGGGATTTATAGTTCACCCACAGTCAAAGAGCATTCTGAATCCCACAAACGACAGAATTGGGGCAAACTTCCAACACACAACCCCCATGACCAACAGAAAATACTTAAGGCCATCCAGTCCAACTCTCTTCACCAGGG